GCTATATAAATCCAATCCATTATGGTTAGGGTTATGGTTAGGGGTAGGGTTAGGTTTAGTCACAAGTCACCGTCAAATTATAATACGGGTAGGACGATTTGTCAGAGTAGGATGGTTTCTCAGAACACCGGTCCAAGCCCGGATAAAGGAGCAGGGTTGGAATTGTGACATTAAAAAACAATAATTGCTAAAAGAAATTTAATTTATAGTTCTAAAGAAATTCTAACTGCATTTAGGACATTTTTTACTCACTTTTTGTCTCTTCCACGATGTTATTTCTCTGTAGGTTACAGAGAGGTTACAATTACATTGGCAGAGGCTTCCATGTGGTGTTAGGCAGTTTATTGGACGTTAGTTAGATGGGACCAGTCCCTTCTGAATGGGACCAGTCCCTTCAAAGGGTCCTTGGTAATCAAGACTGTCCAGCCTTCAGTTAACTGTTCCAGTTGCATCCATTAGCAGCTGGTTCATTTGTTCTGCCAGGTGCTCACTGAATACAGTTAGGCTCTTAGGCAGTAGGTGTGAATGATGTGCGGGCCTGGTGCTGGCGAACTCATGATTGAGACTCTTTCTTGGATGTGATGGTCACATCACATGACATGCAGTTTAGAGTGGTTGCTATGGGGTGCTCTTAGATCCACTAAACACTGAGTATTGTTGTTGTGTTGCATCCATCTCCCATATGCTATTCCAGTGTTGCTTCATCTCCAGCCTTGGTGGGACTGCTCTCATATTGTTTTCCTGCCTTATATTAATGCATCTTTGATGGTTTAGTAGAGAACATCTGGTTTATTCTCATGGTTTCTACTTCTGGTATACCTCTTAAGGCGGTTAGCCAAGACTGTGTATCTTTGTTTGGTTGTTTCAAAGGCCTCAGAATTAGCAGCTTGTTGTACTTCTTCTATACTCCATTCTTCCTCATACCTTTCTGCAGTTTAAATATTTTGCTAACTTCCTGCAGTTTTCCCTTGATCTCAGCCTCTTTCTGCATGGCGGGTATTGCTATTTGTGGCTGGTCAACTTATAGCCAAGCATCTCAAGGATCACTGTTGCTGTGGTATAGATCAGCTGATTGGTTTTAGTAATGATCACAGCAGGGATTTTATGTAATTTTGGATTCAAATGTTGCATCACTTTGACCTTCAGATACTAACCCCAAGTTGCTCTCCGATACATCCATCAGAGTATGCATGTGTGTGAATACTTAGATAGAATGCACTTAAAGTGTAGAAGAAAGTGCTTGTGTGCATGGCTGTGAATGGATGAATGTGATCTAAAGTGCTGTGAGTGCTCCAGGAGAGTAGAAGTGTGCTATATAAGAATCAGTCCATTCACCATTTTAAGTCTGAGGATCAGGCTGCAGGGTGGGGGTTGAGTCTGCTGAGTCCATGGTTGGCTGGATCATTACTGTTACGGTTTGTCGTGAGAACTCACATGCAAAACTCAGCGATAGGAAGCTTCACAAGCAATTTATTTACACAGTTCACTGAATGTATATACAAATGTGCAGAAATAGTGCTACGTACAAAAGTGGGGGGACGGGGCTCCAGGGAAATCCAGGGAAACAGACTCTCGCTCCTCTTCCATTAATCCACACACATGATCAGGCTCTCTTTCTCCAACTATCACCACACAGGAAACAGGGAAAAGGTCAAGGGAGTCTGTACACAGGGAAATGTTTGTTAGTTCAATGCTCAGAAACACAAAGGGGAAACTTAGCTGGCAACTTGACAACACTAACGTGAGTCAAACACAACGATCCAGCGAAGAACAGCAGTCATCGCCTGGCTTAAATACTGGTTGCGTTAATGAATCTCAGGTGCTTCCTCCTCTGAGGGGCGTGGCCGAGGACAAGATGAGTTGAGAATGAGTTCCACCCCGGAGAGCGAGAGAGAAACAGTTGATCAGCGCCCTGCTGATCCCCCAGGCCGTGACCTTTTATTGAGATCAAACCAACCCTCTTCTTACATCTTCCCTGTGCTACTGTGATTATATTAGCAAAACCACGGCTCTGTATCTAGCCACCAGCCACCATCATTACAGTCCATCAGCTAGCTTAACTTCATTAACTGTCTAGTCAGTGTGTTATTTTGTTTCCTGTATATTCGTTTACTTTCCAAGTTACAGTAGAGCCGTATGATGCCTATTCACTGAGAAACTGTCAGTCACGTGTAGTTAGCCAGTGAGAGTGCATTTCAATCATATTTGACCCTCCTCATCACGTCTTATTGTATTTTTTTTTTTTTTAAACCAAGGCTTCAAAATGGACTTCAGAAGCCAATGCATGACCTCACAGTAGCTCACTAGCTACCGTCATCTTTTATATCATCTCTGGTGGCATTTGATTCTACCAGGCAAACTGTTAAATAATCTACAGGGTTGGCCATTCATATGGATACAGCGTAATAACATGGGAATGGTTGGTGACATTAAAGTCCTGTTTGTGGCACATTAGTATATGTGAGGGGGCAAACTCCTCAAGATGGGTGGTGACCATGGTGGCCATTTAGAAGTCGGCCATCTTGGATACAACTTTTGTTTTTTCAATAGGAAGAGGGCCATGTGACACATCAAACTTATTGGTAATGTCACAAGAAAAACAATGGTGTGCTTGGTTTCAACGTAACTTTATTCTTTTTTCACGAGTTTTTGGGTGGTGCAAGTTGGGTGGGGGTCTCATGTGGGTTGGTGTTCATCGCTGGTTTGTGTTGTTTTTATGGTTTTTTTGGCAAGGCTGTCTGTTTTGTGCTTGTTCTGTGGTGGGTCCGTTGTGTCGTGGGTTGGTTCGTAGGTGTTTTTGGCTGGTTGCGGGCTTTGTGGTGTCGTCAGGGGAGTTGGGTGTGGTTTTGTGTGGTTCGTTTTTTTTTGGAGCTGTTGGGGTGGTTGGTTTGGTGTGGTGTTGGTGTGTTGTTGGGCGTTAGTGTTGTGTTTTTGCTGTGGTTGCGTGTTTTGGGTTTGGTTTTTCTTGTGACATTACCAATAAGTCTGATGTGTCACATGGCCCTCTTCCTATTGAAAAAACAAAAGTTGTATCCAAGATGGCCGACTTGTAAATGGCCACCATGGTCACCACCCATCTTGAGGAGTTTGCCCCCTCACATATACTAATGTGCCACAAACAGGACTTTAATGTCACCAACCATTCCCATGTTGTTACGCTGTATCCATATGAATGGTCCACCCTTTACTTAAACATGGAGTCTGCCTCACAGTGTTTTACACTTCACACGTGTCCTGGATATGTCATGCTTAAGCACATCTGTTGAACACTTTTGGATATAGTTATAATCACTGATACACTTACACAATTATATGATAACAACTTTGTAGATGGGCAGCCTGTTTATGGCAGTTGACGTTTGTACAGTCTCCTGACACATTGCTAACATTTCTGTTGGCTAGGAATGTCACCTAAGTTGTTAATAAAATAAAATTATATTTTTACTCTACCTCTGCAGTGATTTTGTTTTTGTTTGTTTTTTTTAGCTTAGTATCCTACGCTGTCATAAAGTAATGTGGTGTGGTACGATATTTGTCTTGCTATAATGATGCATGGCCAAAAGGTTGATTAAAATGACTTTCATTCGACTATATAAAGTAGTTGGTTCATTGATTCATTGTTGGAGCTCTAGTTGCAGTCTTCTTTGCATTCTTGATCTTTTTTATTTACTTTGGTAGCCTCTATCACTCACTTTGTATTCTACATTATTCTGTATATGCTTTTTATTCTGTCTCTGCTTATTTTTTATGCTTTACTCACAGTCTGTCTTCTCTCTGTGTGTCTCTCTGCTACTGCTGTAGGCACGTATCAGGGTCAGTGGAGTGGTGGCATGCGTCACGGCTATGGAGTACGTCAAAGTGTTCCTTATGGCATGGCTTCTGTCATCCGCTCACCTCTACGAACTTCGCTGTCTTCACTTCGCAGTGAGCAGAGTAATGGTACAGTACTGCGTGACAGCCTATCCGATAGCCCTGCTGGCACACGTGGTGGTTTTGTGCTCAACTTCCAATCAGATGGAGAGGGTTCAGAGAAGAGAAAGGGTCTTTTTCGCCGTGGCTCCTTTTTTGGTAGCCTTCAGCGACTACGCAAATCTGATTCACGCTCATCAATTTCTAGTAAGCGCAGTTCAGCACACAGTGACACTACTATGAGCCGCATCAGTTCAAGTGACGCCAACTCTACCATTAGCTTTGGAGATGGAGACCCTGGCGATGACTACCTGCCTCTTGAGGACAGTGTGGATGCTACCACCACCGAGTCGTATGTGGGCGAGTGGAAAAATGACAAACGCAGTGGCTTTGGTATCTCTGAGCGGTCTAATGGCATGAAATATGAAGGCGAGTGGTTGAATAATAAACGCCATGGCTATGGCTGCACCATCTTTCCTAATGGGACGAAGGAAGAAGGGAAGTACAAGAACAATATGCTGATCCGGGGTATCAGGAAGCAGCTGTTCCCACTAAAGAATACCAAGACCAAACAAAAAGTGGATCGTGCCATTGAAGGAGCAGTGAGAGCAGCAGCCATCGCCAGAACCAAAGTTGAGATTGCCATCTCCAGGTAAAATATCCTGAGAACCATAAGGAAGTTACAACTACTTTTACCACCTTTTTCTTTACTATATTGGAAGTATATTGGGTAGTATATACTATACAAAATTTTATCCATATTTTATCTATACTATTGTCAGAGCATATACTGCTCATTATTAAATACTATTAGTAATACTCTTAATACTACTCTGCATATTTTGGCTTGACACAAAGACATTTTATTGCTCATTTTGACACACTGGCTTACAAATGTGATTGAAACTTCATAGTAAGCATATGGTACTTAGTATTCTGTGGAATGAAAAAATATTTGCTGCTTGTTAGTTTGGGATTGTCTTTCATATGTGTCACGTGTTTCAGATGATCAAATATAGACAAACTGGACAAATATAACCCAAGTAAATACAAAATACAGTATGTAAATGCTCATTTAGTTTATTAAAAGAAAAAAAGCTATCCAACCCTACCTGCCCTATGTGAAAAAGTAACCATTAAATCCCCAAAACCTTTGGAAAAATATTCTGTCTAAACTTTTTTAAAGGGTTGAGTCTGGTTACATCTGGTGTAAAACTAACACACCATTTCAAGCCTGTTTTTCAACAGTTTTAACTGCACATCCCCCATCTCAAATATCATCAGCACCCCTAGATGCCCTCCTCCCACTGCCTCACTGATCTGACCTCCTGTGACACCTGCATATTCACCTGTACTCCTAACCAACCCCCGAAGTCCCCACCAGTCAAGCCAACACCAGCATCACTTCCACCTCAATCTCCTCTGCCGGCATGCATCTCAGCCCCAGAAACCCATTTTAGATGCCATACCTAGAATCTACTGGAGCCACTCACTCAATTTTGGGCACAGTGACCCGAGTATTCGGATTACTACAGGGACAACAGTTGCCTTCAGCTTCCACGTATTTTCTATCTCCTCTCTCAGCCCTTGTTATTTCTCAGGTATCTTGTTCCTATTTCCTGATGTTGCTATTGCTACATCTTATCACTACAGCCTATGTCTGGCTGGTTAGCCTTGGCCATACTCTGCAACGGTGTTCCTGCATACTATGCCATCCACTTCATTATAGCTTTCCATGTATGATCTGCCAACTAGTATTTATGATCTTTGCTGTTCTTGTTCCTTTTCTCTCTTGGGTTTCTGCTGCCTGAGGTATCACCAAGCACATGATCATTCCTGGCCATCTTTCTGATGTACTGATGGATTGTTGTTGTTGTTCTTACATCCTGGATAGTAATTCTACACTCACTATTCGTTGGCCTGGATTTGGTATGAAACCTTCGATACGTGGTAAAGGCTTTTCTTTTTTTTAATGTCAGTGGTTTCTATCTCCTCCCTTGGCTAGCTTATTATTCCAGCAGGGTATCTGGTAGGGCATAGGTGTTGATTAACTAGAGCTTGTTCTTCCCATTCAGCAGACTCCTCAGGATTTGCCTTGCTCTTTGGCGAAGGCAGCTTCTCTAGTGGCCTCTTCATTGTTCAGTTCACCTCTTGTATTCCCATGTAATTCTAGCTATCCTCAATATCTGGAATATTGCATTCTGATAGTGCAGTCTGCTCAGTTCTGACTACTTTCCATCTTTTTGTTGTTCAGGCTTACGTAGAACAGCAGTGGGGACAAGGTAGGGCTGGGCGATATGGCCTAAAATCCATATCACTGTATAATTTGAAGCAAGTGCAGTAACGATATATATCGCGATATATTCTTTTCTTCTGTATCACGTATTTTACACACTATAAGGCGCACTTAAAATCCTTTAATTTTATCAAAAATCGTCAGTGCGCCTTATGTGTGAATTCTGGTTGTACCAATTTTATGTGGTGCATGGCGCGCAGAGATCTGTCAAAAATGTTTCAGTACAACTTTGGTAAGCTATGAAGCCGCACCGCTTGATGGATTGCTGGAGCATTACGGCTGCCGTATTCAGGAGCCCCGTGGAGTGATCTGGGTCCAAAACTCCGTGTCCTTCAGGTCCCAAAGTCAAACGAACACTGCGGCATCACTAAGAGTTACAAACTGTCTAAATTATTTCCAGTGTTCCCAACTTAGCGACTTTGTCACTATATTTAGCGAGTTTTCAGACCCCCTTAGAGACTTTTTTTCTAAAAAGCAACTAGCGACAAATCTGGCGACTTTTTCTGGTATTATTGGAGACTTATTTATGAGGACTTTTTGACGTGAAAATGCATATTGCTCTTACTCTCAACAAGCAGCGGTGCTGCCGTGGGCACCTCACCCGTGCCAAAGCACTCACAGGCGGATGATAGTCCTCCCCCATCTGCTATCAGGGCACAGAGATGTTCACCCCTATGCGTCCAAACTGCAAATGAATCGCGCATGAGCGAAGCCGCTGCTCTCGCACTGACTGTAACGCAGTCAGTTCTTCTTTTACTGTTATGCTGTTTTGTGGATCACAAGGTTTAAAACTACTTATAAACACACACACACACACACAGTAACTCCACCAGAGTGCCTATTTCGGGTCACTTTTGCCAGTCCAGCCAGTAAAGGATCTCCAGGTAAAGGAGCAGGGTTGGAATTGTGACACAAAAGCCGAATTAACATCCAGATTTTTCTCTCACCCATCTGGAATACTTCTTAAGGTTATGGTTATGGCGTGCTTTTAAGCGCTTTGGGTGCCTTGAAAAACGCTATATAAATCCAATCCATTATGGTTAGGGTTATGGTTAGGGGTAGGGTTAGGTTTAGTCACAAGTCACCGTCAAATTATAATACGGGTAGGACGATTTGTCAGAGTAGGATGGTTTCTCAGAACACCGGTCCAAGCCCGGATAAAGGAGCAGGGTTGGAATTGTGACATTAAAAAACAATAATTGCTAAAAGAAATTTAATTTATAGTTCTAAAGAAATTCTAACTGCATTTAGGACATTTTTTACTCACTTTTTGTCTCTTCCACGATGTTATTTCTCTGTAGGTTACAGAGAGGTTACAATTACATTGGCAGAGGCTTCCATGTGGTGTTAGGCAGTTTATTGGACGTTAGTTAGATGGGACCAGTCCCTTCTGAATGGGACCAGTCCCTTCAAAGGGTCCTTGGTAATCAAGACTGTCCAGCCTTCAGTTAGCTGTTCCAGTTGCATCCATTAGCAGCTGGTTCATTTGTTCTGCCAGGTGCTCACTGAATACAGTTAGGCTCTTAGGCAGTAGGTGTGAATGATGTGCGGGCCTGGTGCTGGCGAACTCATGATTGAGACTCTTTCTTGGATGTGATGGTCACATCACATGACATGCAGTTTAGAGTGGTTGCTATGGGGTGCTCTTAGATCCACTAAACACTGAGTATTGTTGTTGTGTTGCATCCATCTCCCATATGCTATTCCAGTGTTGCTTCATCTCCAGCCTTGGTGGGACTGCTCTCATATTGTTTTCCTGCCTTATATTAATGCATCTTTGATGGTTTAGTAGAGAACATCTGGTTTATTCTCATGGTTTCTACTTCTGGTATACCTCTTAAGGCGGTTAGCCAAGACTGTGTATCTTTGTTTGGTTGTTTCAAAGGCCTCAGAATTAGCAGCTTGTTGTACTTCTTCTATACTCCATTCTTCCTCATACCTTTCTGCAGTTTAAATATTTTGCTAACTTCCTGCAGTTTTCCCTTGATCTCAGCCTCTTTCTGCATGGCGGGTATTGCTATTTGTGGCTGGTCAACTTATAGCCAAGCATCTCAAGGATCACTGTTGCTGTGGTATAGATCAGCTGATTGGTTTTAGTAATGATCACAGCAGGGATTTTATGTAATTTTGGATTCAAATGTTGCATCACTTTGACCTTCAGATACTAACCCCAAGTTGCTCTCCGATACATCCATCAGAGTATGCATGTGTGTGAATGCTTAGATAGAATGCACTTAAAGTGTAGAAGAAAGTGCTTGTGTGCATGGCTGTGAATGGATGAATGTGATCTAAAGTGCTGTGAGTGCTCCAGGAGAGTAGAAGTGTGCTATATAAGAATCAGTCCATTCACCATTTTAAGTCTTGATGAGCTGAATAGTGTTCATCAAAATTGATGCATATTTCTAATCAAATGTGATACCCATGTAACCCTCTACATAATTTTAATGTTTCTTTTTCTATACTGTTCCATTTTAATCGCCCTTTGGTTTTTACCTCTTTAGCTAGTTTGGCAGAAATACTTTGTTAGATTGACAGAGAAACCACATTCCTCAGTACAGCACCAAGAAAGCTCTTAGGGGTTTATATCCCATCCCTAAGACATCTGGGAAGCTCTTGGAGGGGGTAAACAAACATCTGTGTTAGTTTCCTCATTATTTCATCATTAAGGAGATAAAAGAAGTGAAGTTTATTCCTTTAGAAAAATATCAAAATCAAATCAAATAAATTCAGCAACACTAAAAGCCCTGAAAGACCCCCCAAGGCAACGAAAGTAGATATTTACAAAATCCTTTCCTTGATTAAGAGAAAAACTCTTCAGTTACTAGCCAAGTCAAAAACACACAAAGACGAAGGCTTATCGTTGTC